GGTTTTTTCCGCCCGACTCGGGCATTGAGGCTGCTGCTCTAGGTGCTAGCAAGGCTGCTGCTCTAGGTGCTGGTGCGTCTGCTTCCTCAGGTGCTGGTGAGTCTGCTCTCTCAGGTACCACGTCGGCTTCGGCCTCCCACACCTTCACACTTGACTCGGGGGCTTCTTGCTCCTTCTTTCGAGACCACACCACACTCACGCCGCTTGGTTGGCCAGTTGCAGTCTCTCTGGCAGACCCCTCTGGGGGTCCTGTCCTTGCTCATTTCTCCACTGTCCTCCCGTGTCCGGCGGCCCCCTCTGGCACCCTGTCTGGTCTTTACCTCCCATCGTTCTCTACAAACTTGGTGAGTGGTGCTGACCTACAGGATGCGGGGGTTCACCAGTTCACTCCTGCGAGTCAGCGGGTGACCCACTGCACGGACGCTCGGACAGGCCGACACCTGGCCACGTTTACACGTCGGCGAGGGTCGAGCCTGTACACACTGACCACTGCGTCCCCTCCAATCACTGCGTCTGGTCAGGTAGCTGCGTCGGGTCAGGTGTTTTCTGCAGCGTCCATGTCTGGTCCTGAGTCTACCCCCTGCCCGTGTCGCCTCCTGTCTCACAAGACTCTCCTCTGGCACCACCGCCTTGGTCACCCCTCCCTGCTTCGTCTCCGAGGCATGGCCTCCCGTGTCCTTGTCTCTGGTCTACCCCGGTCCCTCCCTCCCCTTCCTCCGGGGCCTGCCCCTGCCTGCGTCCCCTGTGTCAAGGGGCGGCAGCGGGCTGCCCCTCACTCCTCCCAGTTTCCTCCGGCAGAGGCCCCGCTGCAGACGCTTCACATGGACGTGTGGGGCCCGGCCCGCGTCCGTGGACAGGGTCACGAGCGCTACTTCCTGCTGGTGGTTGACGACTACTCGCGTTACACCACAGTCTTCCCCTTGCGCAGCAAGGGTGATGTCACTGCGGTGTTGATCGACTGGATCCGCGCAGCTCATCTCCGGCTCAGGCAGAGCTTCGGCTCGGACTTTCCTGTTCTGTGTCTACACTCTGACAGAGGCGGAGAGTTCTCCTCTGGCCTTCTGCGAGCCTACTGTCGTGCACGAGGCATCCGCCAGACCTTCACGCTTCCGGACTCTCCACAGCAAAATGGGATTGCTGAGCGCCGCATTGGCATGGTCATGGACGTCGCCCGTACGTCCATGATGCATGCGGCTGCCCCCCATTTTTTGTGGCCGTTTGCGGTTCGGTACGCGGCGCATCAGATCAACCTTCACCCCAGGGTCTCCATGGCGGAGACCTCCCCAGCTTTGCTGTGGACGGGGAAGGTTGGCGATGCGTCTGCGTTCCGTGTCTGGGGATCTCGGGCGTTTGTCCGCGACTTGTCTGCGGACAAGCTGTCCCCTCGTGCTGCTCCTTGCGTCTTCCTTGGCTTCCCCCCTGACGCGCCAGGGTGGCAGTTCTACCACCCCACCTCTCGTCGTGTTCTGTCCTCCCAGGACGTCACGTTTGACGAGTCGGTCCCCTACTACCGCCTCTTCCCCTACCGCACTCCGTCCCTCCCCCCGCCATCGCTCTTCCTTGTGCCAGGTCCCCCCCTGGTAGACCCTCTCCCCCCTCAGGGTCCTGCCCCTTCAGGTGTGTCCCAGGTAGACGCAGTCGAGCCTGTTGAGGTTACTGGTGACTGTGGTGCTGCTGAGGGTGCTGAGCCTGGGGGTGCTGACTCTGGGGATGCTGAGCGTGTGGGTGCTACGCGTGGGGGTGCTGAGCCCGAGGGTGCTACTACTGGGGGTGCTGAGCCGGGGGGTGCTGATCCTGGGGGTGCTACCACTGAGGGTGCTGAGCCTTGGGGTGCTGAGCCTGGGGGTGCTACGCCTGGGGGTGCTGAGCCTGGGGGTGCTACGCCTGGAGGTGCTGAGCCTGGGGGTACGGAGCCTGAGGGAGCTGGGCGTGCTCGTGTGGCGTCTGGCGGTGCTGGGCCTGGAGGTTCTCCGAGTGCTTCGTCTCGGCGGGAGCCACTCTCTCCATAGGAGCTACGCGAGTGGTTTGCCCGGCGCTGGAGGCGTGCTGCTGGAGCTGGAGGTTGTTCGGCTACTGAGGGTGCTGGTGCCGCGGGTCCCAGAGGTGCTCGTACTGGGAGTACTGGAGCTGCTGGGCCTGTGGGTACAACTGGAGCTGAAGCTGCTGAGGGTGTTGGCGCTAAGGCTACAGCTGTCGGTCCTGAAGGCGGTCCTACTGGGGGTGCTACTGGTGCTGCTGGAGGTACTGGAGCTGGAGGTGCTGTTGGCGCTGGTGCTGCCGCTGGGGGTACTGGTGCTGTCCCTGTTGTGTCTTGAGTCGCCGCACGGCCTCGTGTCAGAATCCCAACCACTAGACCATTGAGATAAAAGGGCTTGTTTCAGTAGCGGGTGAGTGCGCCCATAACCCCCCAGGCGAACGCGCCTGTAACCCTCTCCAGGATCAATCGGGCATCCACAGTGCAGATCTACTGACACCCCCCCACACTGGGAGGCCCAGGACTAAGCACAGCGGCAACGGCCTACATGTGCATACACCGGGAATCGAACCCGAGACCGCTCTGATACCATGTCAGAATCCCAACCACTAGACCATTGAGATAAAAGGGCTTGTTTCAGTAGCGGGTGAGTGCGCCCATAACCCCCCAGGCGAACGCGCCTGTAACCCTCTCCAGGATCAATCGGGCATCCACTGTGCAGATCTACTGACACCTCGACCATTCTTCGTTCCTCTCCTTCAGCAGGTTCTTGGTCTCCCGCCTTCTACTGGTCCTCCTCCTCCCTTAGAGTGTCCACAGCCTGTCCCGTCATAGTTACAGTTACAGCCGGCCTCCCCACTGCCTGCTCCTTCTCCCTACACTGGTCCTACTGGAGGTCTTGCTGAGCGTCGTGAGCCTGCGTCTCGCCCTGCGTCGCCTGTCCGTTCTGCTCGCACTAGTGGTCGCGCTTCGCGTCAGCAACCTCCTCCTGTCCCTGGCACGCACCGGATGTCTCTATGTCCGTCCACTGCTCCTCTGCGTGCCCTTTTGCCTTCTCCTCCTGAGTCGGACTCTCTTCGTGCTGCCAGTCCTACTGTCACGCGTCTACTTGCTACTGTCGTCACTGACCCTTCCTTTGAGTCTACTACTGCGTCTGCCCTCCTTCTCCGTTCTCCCTTCCCCTCTCCGTTCGCCCCTCCCCTCTCCGTTCGCCCTTCCCCTCTCCGTTCGCCCTTCCTCTCTCCGTCGCGCTTCCCCTCTCCGTTCGCCCTTCCCCTCTCCATTCGCCCTTCCCCTCTCCGTTCGCCCTTCCCTCTCCATTCGCAAGTCCCCTCTTCGTCGCGCTTCCCCTCTCCGTTCGCCCTTCCCCTCTCTGTTCGCCCTTCCTCTCTCCGTTCGCCCTTCCTCTCTCTGTGGCGCTTCCTCTCCCGTCGCCCCTCCTCTCTCCCGTCGCCCCTCTTCTCTCCCGTCGCCCCTCCTCTCTCCCGTCAACCTTCCTCTCTCTCCTTACTACGTCGCTCTCACTGTTCTCGCTCGAAGTACTACCGTGCCTGATTAAATTGTTTCTTTAAAGCTCGCGGCCCAAATTGTTCAACCTTAGTAAGGTTGACCTTTGGGTGGTGGGAGAAGAAGTTGACTTGTTGGAAGTTGGGTTGTTTCCTTTCGCCCAGTTTCGCGCTAAACCCTTGGGGTTTTCGTTGACACGGCAAACCCCTGGGAGCAACCTGGGTTTGCTTCGAGAGTCCCAAATTGCAATCAACATATTGTTGTTCCCTGCTCTCCCATTCGACAAAAAAAAACTGGCCAATCAGATTGCATCTCACTTCTCGTAACCACCCTTCGCAACCCAAACAGCACTCAAAACATCACCCCCGTCAACCTTAGTAAGCTTGGCCAGCGCACCCCGCAATTTGGGCCGCGAGCTTTAAGGTGGCATTGGGCACTGAGAGGGACGTGGGTTATGCGGCTCTCTCCTTTTGGAACTACGAATTAACTTGGATTTATTTTCTGTTAGAAATTTTCATCGGGTGAACCATTCAGCCTTGGTGTTCAAACATTACTCACGCTCTCCCCGTCGCATCTCCCTCGCGCTCACGCTCTCCCCTCCCATCTCCCTCACGCTCACGCTCTCCCCGTCGCATCTCCTCTCGCTGCCCCTCGCCCTCGCATTTGCTAGCGAGCCCCGCTGTTATTCGGCTATCTCGTCTGTCCCGTCGCCCTGCCATAGCCCTGTCGCCCTCACAATCACCCCTCCCTTCATCTCGCCCTCACGATATCCATCCAATTCCGTCACAATCGATGCCTCTGCTGCACTTAGTCATATTCTTCAGTGTATGTGTGTGCTTGGGATCTTGTCTGTGCTGTTGCTAGATGTGCATTTGATAAAGTCACAACTCGTCAAATGGTTGCACTCCCTTGCACGTCGCAGCTCTTTGCGCCAAATTCGCACATCTGTTTGGCTGCCAATCAAAATTGAGAAAGAACTTTGTTCCTTGTTCACTCAGAAACTTGTCTGGAGCTGGAAAAAAAACACACACACAGTACTTCAACCTTCTACAACACTTGGGTCTTCAAGTTGGACCCAACTAGAAGGGGGGGGTCACTATTTTAGCTGCTGGCTTTAAACAAGGACTACAAAATAATATAAGTGAGATATTCTGATTCATAACATTGCCTGGATCAGCTGAGAGTGCTGATGCGGGTTGCTGATTTGGCATGACATTGACCTATGAACTCTTGAAGGGACACGTGTTCCAGACACCAGAGAGGACGCCACGCGGCCCCTGTCCTGCCACACCTTGTTAACTATTGAAGGTCTGTTCTATTTAGCCATTTCAGGTTAGAAATATCACATCTTCGGGTGTCCATTTCACCTGAAATTGCGATGGCAGATGTCATGGAACATGTTTCGAGAAATTTGAGCCGTAAACACGACCTCAAGGAATTGACTATTCCATCCCCCACCCCATTTCACACCTGAACAAATAGGCCACGTTTGTGACTATCCGGAGATAATCAAACAACCATGGCTGCAGTCCCTGCATTTCGAGTCGCCGCATCCTTTCGGCCACTATCTACAGCTGCCGCGCCGTCTACTTTGTCGTCCGGAAAGTCCGCGTCTTTCGGCTGCGCCTCGTCGCTCTGCCCATGCACCCCGTCAGCAGCTTTCCGCGCCACCAAGGGAAGGCAGACCGTCGTGACTCCGCGTGCTGACTTGGACAACGATACGGTGAGCTTCCCTGTTCCATGCATCTTTAAGAAGTCCGAAATGTGCACTAGTCTAGTTGTTCCCCAATCCGCATCACGTATATTGAAGCTCTAGGCAAAGGAAAGGAGTGGCCAGCGTGAACCTGCGAGTTCACTCGTCTTGCTTGACCATCGAGCTAGCTTGCAAATGCAAGCTCGAACCTATTCCACTCGTTTACGCATAAAATCATCAGACAAAATGTTAATTTGACAAAGAAATCCGTTGCTGGAAGGGTGGACTAATTTGCACGACCCTATCTTATCCCGTGATTCCAATCGTCAAATTGTCTGTGTTGGTTGGGGCGGCAGCTTGTGGGGATCGGCGTGGGTTTGGCGGGTATCGCGGTGGGCATCGGCATTCCCGTCTTCTACGAGATTGCCGTCAAGGGATCGGTGAGTCTTCATGGCGAAGGTGAGGCGTCAAGGCGACTGTGAGCCGTCAAGGCGTCGGTGCGCCGTCAAAGCGTCAGCGAGTAGTCAAGGCGTCGGTGAGCCGTTGAGGGGACCGGGAGTTGCCGCAGCGTTCATATCCCAGCTTCTCTTTGCAGTAATACCTCGCGCGTCGTCCTTCCTCTCGTCGCGATTCTCACTGTCGTTGGTCGTCGGAGAACACATCCGCGCATCATCTCTGCCGCGCTGTGGTCCTTCCTTGCATGCCAAGCGTTCACTTGCGCCCGTATGTGCTCATGTGCCTGCATTGCTCCTCGCGATCTTTCTGTGCCGTTTCCCCGTGTGCAGGAGAAGCGGGAGAACGACCAACCATGCTTCCCCTGCAAAGGCACTGGCGCTCGTAAGTCCCTCTCTCTTCCCCCGACAGCACACTCAGTGACGCTGCGAAGGAACAGCACCATGCCTGTGCGGTCGGCGTAATGGAGAAAATAATCCAGTGTCGCCATTGCCACCACCTGTGCGAGGCACGATTGTAAAAAAATGTAGAATTTGTCAGATGTGCGACCTTAATGTTGATCTCGGATGCCTCCATGTCTGAAACGCATGCCCTGAGTTCCGTCCCTGCCGCCCTTCCCCACCATTTATGCATGCATGCTCGTATTCTGCAATGCACGCTGTGGAGATGCAGGGTCTGCCAGCACATCATGGCCACACCACACCTCACTCCCTAACGTGCATAGCATGATGCGCCTGCCTTTAACCAGCTTCGCTCTCTCCCCTTCTCCCGTTCTCTCGTTCTCTCGTTCTGCCTTCCTATCCCGGCCCTCCGTCTCCCCAACACAACAACTGCGGCTGGCAGAGTCGTGCCGGTTCTGCCAGGGCACGGGGGTGGTGGTGGTGGAGCTGGGCGGGGGCGAGAGGGAGGAGTCGGAGTGCATCAACTGCACCGGCAAGGGCGCCATCACCTGCACCACCTGCCAGGGCACCGGAGTGCAGCCCAGATACCTCGACCGCAGGTGAGGGGGAAAGAGTGTATAATCGAGCATTTTGACTGGAGCTGAGGGGAGAAGGAATGGTGGAACATCTGGACTGTAGGTGAAGGGGAGCTTATAGCTGGAGGTGAGGGTAAGAGAAAGAAATGTGAGAGTGGTTGGTTGGTATGAGTTCACAGACATTATCGAAATCCAACGAACCTGGAGCCATACGCTCATATCATTCTTGATCAAGCTCGCTTAGTCTCTATCTTCCCATTCTTTTCTTTTTGTTTTTTGGTTTAATGCAGGGAGTTCAAGGATGATGACTAAGCCCAATATTTCGTTTTTGTGGACACCCAGTCATGCGCTGTATGTTTGCAATGTATACCCCTGGTTTGGAATATCAAAAGCCTAATTTTCTATCAGGAAAACGAGATAGCAATTTTTAGTACACTTGACCTGTGTCAACTTTATAGTGGATTGTTGTAACAAGGTGTGCGCAATCTCTCAACCAGCCGCAATTCAATCCCAAACGAGATCGCGATCCGCGATGTTCGCAAATTCGCTGACGCCCAGTGAAACGACACCAGATGAAGGGTCGCATTGCAAATTGTAGCTATCTTCTTGGGAGCTTCACGCGCAAATAAACCAGGCATACGGTAGTTTCTCGAGCAGGTCAGCGAGCATGAGTTTGGAGTCCACCTTTTGAAGCAGCTCACTCGTGATTTTAACAGCCTAGATTTACTAGCCGTTGCTTAGCTATCAACCAACCAGAATCGTCTGAACGACACACCATGTGAACCGCAATCCTAAAACTCGCAGAGTTCCACCTTTTACTCGTGTAATTCCTACAGTTGGTTTATCCTCCTGTAGGCGATTTATCCGAGCCTTACTTCCAGGGGTAGTATTTCGGTTCTCATCACACCAGTAGCTTCTTCCCGTCGCTCTTTTCACGTCAGCATATTACACGCTCTCTTCTAAGAACGACTGTATCGTAACTCCATGAGCTGCTAATCCCAACACCCAAAAACATCCTCAAACCATCAATGTCCCAAGAATAAGCACGCCTTAACGTGTTGGATTCAGGTATCCTTAGCGTGTCATCATGGCGGATATGCCTGAAAATGAAGCGTCCGACCTATTTGGACCTCTGAGTCCAGGAGGAAGCACAGACGGAGGAACAGATTCAGGGTTGTTTTCAAGCCTACCATCTAGAATGGTAGCTCTGGCTTGCACGTGTGTGGCAATACTGATTGCGTTGCGCCATATGCTGATGCATCTGCGGTACTACACAGAGCCTACCCACCAAAGATACATTATAAGAATAATCTTCATGGTCCCTGTAAGACGCTCGTTCGTCCCGCTTCCAGCAGGTATACGGGCTTTCAACAAGCGGACAAAGATCTGAAACGCCTGTGTTGCTTACAGGTGTATGCTGCCATGTCGTATGGTGCTTTGGTGGCCAGTGACTACGCCATGTACTTCAAGACTGTCCGAGACGTGTAAGAAACGAACCTCCACCCCCGCCATCAGTTGTTCTTCTCTCTACTTCAGCATTAAAATCAGTAGTTCCCTTTGATTGATCCTGAATCGTTGTCCTGCACAGGTACGAAGCATGGGTCATCTATAACTTCCTGTCTCTCTGCCTGGCGTGGGTGGGAGGGCCAGGCGCAGTGGCCATGAGCCTCACAGGGCGCGTTCTCAAGCCCTCAACGCTTCTCCTCACGTGCTGGCTCCCACCCATACCGCTGGATGGGTGAGCAAGTTTTTTATAAGCACAGAAGATAGGGATAGGGGCACTGAAACAGCCCTTTCTGAAGGCATTGAGTACACATGACCAGAATGTCCCATGTTGACAGCAATTCTGTTGCATGTTCATCTGTTCAAGGAAGCACTGCATGAACACCATGCATTTGCTCAATTCAAACCCTCCCACTTTGTTGACCAACATTACAGGAAACCATCAAGCTAATAGCAACCCTTGGTCCCTTTTATGCCTCCCACTTCTTCCTACCACGTCCCTCCTCTCCCTCCTCCTATCGTGCCTGCATGCGCCAGGAACTTCATCCGTCACTGCAAGCGCGGCTGCCTGCAGTTTGTCTTCATCAAGCCACTCCTCGCCGGGCTCTGCCTCGCCCTCTACGCCACTGGCCTCTACGAGGAGGGCGTGTTCGCTGCCAGCAACGGGTACCCCTACGTGACATGCGTGTACATGGTGTCATACTCCCTCGCGGTCTACGCGCTGCTCTTCTTCTACTTCGGCTGCCACGACCTGCTGCGCTCCTTCAACCCCATCCCCAAGTTCATCATGATCAAGCTTGTTGTCGTCCTCACCTACTGGCAGGTAACCAGCAGTAGCCTGGACCAGCGAGCAATTAGATTTGTTTTAACTGGACCTCACCTACAGGCTGCTAATTACAGCAGCAGCCTCTCACACCCCCATGTTCACCCCTCCTCAAGCTCCTCTCTGTGCTTACTTCCTCCCACCAACCGCCACCCTCCCTTCTCCCCCCACCCTCCCCAAGATGACAGTAGTGTTTTTGAAGGGCCATCTGGGCCTGGTGCGCTCACCCAGTGTCGCAACAGACCCGCAGAGCCTGCTGCTGTGTTGCAAGATGCCTTTTCTTTTTCCCCTCTCATCCGCCCCTCGATCCGCAGGGCATAGTGGTGTTCGTAGCGGGCCATCTGGGTCTGGTGCGCTCCTCCACCGACGCAGCAGACCTGCAGTCTCTGCTGCTGTGCTGTGAGATGGCCCTCGCTGCAGTGGGCTTTGCGTGGGCCTTCCCCGTGACGCCCTTTGCTGCTGCCAGCGTGGGGGGCGGTGGGGGGCGGATAGTAGAGGAGGTGGGGGGCTTCTTTCAGAGGCTCAGGCATGCGGCAGCTGTGGGGGATGTGGTGGACGACACTGTTCACCAGGTGAGTGTTGAGTCGACTCTAATGTCACCTCAGTAGAGGAGGAGGTGGGGGGGTTGATTCAGAGGCTCAGGCACGCGGCGGCTGTGGGGGATGTGGTGGACGACACTGTTCACCACGTGAGGCTTGTTGCTTGTCCAACCACCTGCGTGCTCAGTGCGCCACCTTTGCTTGCCATGTCGTGCCACCTCTGCTTGCCACCATGACTGCGTCTCCTCTCCCTGCCCACCCCTCCGTTTCTCCGCATCGTACCATATTTCACCTGCAACTCTCCACATTCACAACCGCCGGCTATCCCCGATGTACCACGGCTACGGTATGTGACTATAGCGATGGAACACCACATCTTAATTGGCATCTTCTCCCACCCCGCCCCTCCGCCCCACCAGTTCTCCCCGACCTACCATGACTACGTGCTCTACAGCGATGGCTCCACACAGGCCAAGCACTTCCGCACTCGCACGTTCGTGCCCATGGGTATGTGCTGACATGGGTATGTGCTGACATGGGTATGTGCTGACACTAGGAAAGTCTCCAGCCCACTCCCCCTCTCCCCATTTCTCCTCCTCCCCTGGCTCGACGTGCCACTGACAGGCCGGGAGATGGAGGCATACCGCAAGGACGGCAAGATCAACTCCATCCAGTCGCCCGACTACATTCTCGCCCCCCCTCCTCCTCTTCATCCCTTCCCCTGCAAGCCCTGCGCCACCACCACCACCGCCCCCGATACCACCACCGGCTCCACCACCACCATGAGCAGCAGCGCATCTGGCCTGGCATCTGACACTGCCATACGCACCCTGGCGGCTGACTCGTTAGGAACTGCTTCAGGAGACCCGTTTAGAGAAGTTACTAACAGTGTTGGAACCAGTGGTGCAAGAGCCGCAGCAGCAACTGTAACAGCCCCTGCCAGCACCATGGTTACTGAGTTACCACCTGGCACAGCACTGCTAGACTTCCTGTCTGGGAGTGGGACCAAAAGCATGGTGACATGCCAGGAAGAAGCACCGCCGGGCTTGCTTTACAGGGCCAGCATCCCCTGTGGCAGCGACCAGATCACTACCCTCTTCACCTCTCCCAGTGACATCCCTGGAAGCACACAGACCAAAAGTGGCAGCAGTTACAGCAGCACACAGACTAACCATGGCAGCAGCTACAGCAGCAGCTATGGGGACATGCAGGGTGTGATTCGTGCGAAGGGGTTGTGTGGTGAGAGCAGCAGGGAGGGAGGGAGGAGGGCAGGGCTGTTTGAACGGCTGACTGATGAGAACGAGTATGATAGCGCTGCTCATGGTGGTGGCGGTGGCGGTGGCGGTGCGGGTGTGAGTGGTGTGAGCAGGAGGGCTAGTAGTAGGAGTGGGAAGAACGAGACGGAGTGGAGAGAGAGTAGGAGTGGGAGTAGGAGTGAGGGTAGGAGTGGGAGTGTGCACAGGCATTCGAGTGTGAGCAGCAGGAGCAGTGAGGGAGGCAGTGAGAGAGCAGCCTTGTACGGCCATCACCGCGACTCAACCCAGGGCGGCGGGATCGGAGGCAAGGGGAGGAGAGCGGAGACGGGTAGCGAGGGAGGGGAGGCGAGGGAGAAGGAAAACGATAAGGAGAAGGAGAAGGGGAGGAGGGCGGGGCTGTGGAGTGCGCGGGGGTTAGTGAAGGTATTAACACGGGGATCCATGGATTTGGGGCTGGTGGTGGACGAGGAGGACCTCATGGAGGAAGGGGATGCAAGGCGCGAGCTGGAAGGTGTGGTGCAGCGGTGAAAGGGAGTGTGCATGGGCTGGTGAAGATGTGAATAAGGGGATTCATGGACTTGGGGGGGCTGGTCGTGGATGAGGAAAACATTATGGAGGAAAGGGATGCGAGGCAAGAGCTCGAGGGAGTTGTGCAGCAGTGAGGGGGAGAGCGATGGGATGGCGTGATGGGAGGAGGTTTGTGGACAGGGTGAGGTGAAGTGATGCGGCAAACAACGATAGGCCAAAGTTGATGTGAGGTCAGCGGAATCCAAATCCCACATGTGGGCTGTGCGTACAGGGTGAAGGGTGTGAGAATCATGAGATTGCGAAGGAGGATGCTGCATGTCGCTGGCTTCTGTCTGCCTGTTGTAAGCTAATGAATCCAACATATGCCAACTCAACCTCATTGATGGCTATGAAATGAATGTACAGAAATCGAGTTTGCAACAGAAAAGGGGGCAAAATTGAAGATGAAACAATAACCTAGAAAAGAAGCTGGTGATACAAAAAGAGGACCTCACATGCGAGCATGCCATTCCCCACCTCACTTCACTGCTAGCTGTCACTGCTGCCGGCCGTCACTGCTGCTGACTGGCTGCTCTAGCTGCCTTCAGCTGCAGTGCACGTTGCTTCCACGACGGCACTTGTGCACGAGCTGCTGCCTGCTCATAGCGAGGATAACAGGAGACAGAAACATTGGATGGAGTTATGGCTAAGTTGGATATTACGCTTACGTTTACATATGTTTTACGTTACACACGAGGGTCTGATATTAGTTTACGTTTGCGGGCATATTTTTTTTTTTAGCTGACCGGCTTGCAAAAAAACTCAGGGGGGCTGAATATGGCAATATAACCATATATGATAATCTCTAGGCACAAAAATATATGGCGCCACAAAGTGACGCATGTTACTTCAGCGATGTGTACAAAACCAACTTGCGCTTTGCCCCCCCAATTTCACGCGATATCGCGTGAGTCTCCCGCCTCTCCTCAATACACATGATGCTCAACTTGTGCCCGCGAAATTGCCCTGCCCATATTCGGTTCGCTGCTCACGAACAATTGGTGCCGGGAAGTTGCACCTGGTTTACAGGCCCCCCGAGCAAGTTGCACCAGGAAGATGGTTCGTCAACATGGCAACGCGTGGAACAAATCAGTCAATGCAGTGATGAGGAACCAATGGTAGCCAAGGGACCCACGTCAAACTGTCAACGTGTAACTCTTGAGTTTTTTACAAGCCCAATTCTGATAGCAGCGATGTTGATGAACCCTTGCGAAATGCACGATTCACTTAAAACCCGAAAGTATGGGGGACTCAAATAAGCATTAGCTGTATGTTACATGGACCTCCCAATGTACCCCCTCGTGTTCTAGTCCTGTCCCGTGACGTACGCGGAAACCAGAATGCTAGGATTGACGACCTAATCCTTCTTACTACATTTACCATGTAGAGCTAGCTACGATATGGAAATAACCCTTAATCTAGTATGCTAGGTTACGATCTAATCTTGAAACCTCACTAGGCTGTATGCGCTGCCCTGAACGGTTCTGCAGCGACAATTCTCTCCGGGGCCAAGCTGGTCAAATCTAGCTCTTCCCTCTTTTTTCCGTTGATTTTTTTTCCTGCCCGGATCCAAGTTACACGTATTTACACGTACGTAAACGTAAGCGGAATGTTACGCATAACATTACGTTTACGTAGGCCCATGGACGTACGGACCCATCTTAGAGTTATGGCCTGTGTTGTGCACGCAGCACACCTGCATGCACACACCCGCACTCTGCACTGCCTGCGTTCCCCCCATGTCACTATTTCAACCACCTTGAACACACCTGCACCTGCACGTACCTGGACACACCTGGGTACACTTCTGCATTATCTTCACTCCATACATGCCACTCTGCCAGCCCTCAACACACCTGCTGCTGCCCATTGCATGCCAACGCCGCCCCGCCCTCCATTCCTCCACCTCCTGCCGCCTCACCAGCCAAGCCCTCCACCAATGGCGACACGCCAGTTGGCACACCAGCAACCTCATCCTGCACTGCTTCTGCATGTGGCTGGAGTGTGCCAGCACCAGCAGGGCGTGTGCCTTCATCAGTAGGGCGTGTGTCGACCACAAGTCCCACGATGACAGGCACACTCTCCTCGTCATCCTCCTCCTCCACTCCAAGTGCTGCCGCCACCGCTGCTGTGAATGCATCAGGGGCAGCAGTGGAAGCAGCGCCACTCTTCCTTCCAGACACGGAGAACTTGGTCTCCACTGCTGCTGCACACCCACCACCCGACCTAACTGCCCTTGCTTGCTGCTCTGCCTGCTCCCCTCGCTGCATTTCCTTCTCCTTCTCCTTCCTCTCATCTCTCCCTCGACCTCCCTCTCTCCGCTCACTCCCCTCCCTCTCTTTTCTCCCTTCCCTCACCTCCCTCCTGTCTCTCCCTCCCCCGCCTTCGCTACGTTGCCCATCTCTCCAATCATTCCGCCTCTCCTCCCTCCTCTCATTCCTCTCTGTGCCCCGCCTTCCCTCCTTATCGCTCCTCCTCTCGTCTCCCTTCTCTCCCACTCTCTCTTCCGGCCCTTGGTCACTTGGCCGGCGGGCTTTGTCAGGACACTGCCGGTTGTTCCTGTTGGGTTCTGAAGCCTTGCTGGATTGCCCACAAGGAAGCTTCTCACCAGCTGCAGACGGTGGTGCTCCAAAGATGGCATTCTCGTGTGCTTCCTGCGTGGTAGCGCCGCGATTCTATACGCACCCGTAAACAAACACGAAACAGAAGCACACGGCATTTGAGCAAAGTAGAAAGTAAGAAGGGAAATGAACCATTCAGCATCTACTGACTGGATCAGGCACTTCAAGTAATACACGTGTCAATGCAGATACTTTGGGGAAAAGCAGATGGGTGACGAGGAGCAACAGTTGATGGATGAAAGGCACAGTCAGTAGCCGTCCTCACTCGCTCATGGGGATGAGCAGATGGTACGTACAGAAAAGGAGGAGAAGACAAAGGAAGATTTGATTTGATCCAAATGAGCAAGATCGTCTGCACCTCCCAGCGCATCTGCGCGTGATGGTGAAAGGCAGTGCATGGTTTGATGAAAGTAACTGTGAGACGCTAGTGTGAGTGCAAGGGCGATGCGACGTTGCATTGCAATGCGACATACACCACAGAAATCAACACAGTCGTGAACGTGCAAATGTAAGAACGCCATTGTCAACACCGAAAAACAAGTGGTAACACGCAGTTGCAAATATGAAATCGCGAGTACACTTGCACCGCACTGCACCTGTAGGCACCGTGCCTTTGATTTGAGGCACCTTGAAAGGAGATGCCATAACACCATGCCAAGGCATCATATCATCATACCCAACAGCACCGCACTTCACCAACTGACATCAAAACCAACATCTAGGTTTGCTCCTAAAAAATCTCACTGAACAGCAAGGCGGATTCACCACCACTCACCATCACTGCCCATCCCTGCAATCAGGTCTGCATCCTCCACGTCAGCATCTGCATCCCTCTCCTCCTCCAGCGGGGCGGCATAATCGAATCCAAACCGCTCCCACTCGCCACCCAGCCCTGTGCCTTTGTCTGATGCTGCCTCCTTGGCGGCTGTTGGTGAGGCGGAGATGCGAATGAGAATGTTCAGAGGCAGATGAGAATGAGAGCGTTAAAAAGCAGATGGGAGAAGGACACGAGAAGGGAGAGAAAGCGAGGGATAAAAAAAGGGAATAAAAGCTAAGGGAGCCAGGGAGGGAGGCAACATACGTGAATGTTTCTGCATGAGACCAGTCAAACCTTCCTCACTGCCCTCGTCACCACCCCTCCTCCCTCCCTGCCCTACCCACCTGCGCGTTGGAGATGCTGTGCACGGAGCTGGTTAGGGGGAAGGGAAGGGAAGAAGCATGCAACAAGAAGAGCCCACCTCACCGGCAAACTCACCGCCCTCACTTGCCGTCCTCACTTGCCGTCCTCACTTGCCGTCCTCACTTGCCGTCCTCACTTGCCGTCCTCCCCTGATCTGCTCACCTGCCTTGTGGAACTGTTGTTCCATTCTCTCCTTCAGCTGCTGCGCACGCACCTGGTTAGGGTAAGAGAAGGAAGGAAGGCAAGAGGTGGAGGACGGCAGACGGGAAGGGAGGGAGGCGGACGGGATAAGATTGGGAGGGATGGGAGGGGACGGAAAAATAGCAAATGAGTTTCGTGCTGCATGCTCTGAGAGGCAAAACAGGGGAAAAAAGAAAAGAAAAGAAAAAACCTTCTAAGTTGTGTTCGCATATCATAAACCACCTGCCAACCCCATCCCCTCCCCCACCCCTTCCCCCTCCTCCACTCATCCCCTCCCCTCCTTTCTCTTCCCCACACCCTTCAAGTCACCTTGGAATCCAGTTTTGCTGTTGCTTCCTTGCTCTTACGCTCCCCCCTCCTGCTCCCCTCACTCCTCTCCTCGCTGCTGCTGCTCCTGCCCCTCCTCCCACCTCTGCCCTTCCTCTCCCTGCTCCTGCTACCCCTCCCCCTGCTTCTGCTCCTGCTACCCCCCCCCCTGCTTCTGCTCCTGCTTCTCCTCTCCCTGCTCCTACTCCTGCCCCTCCGCTCCCTGCTCCTGCTTCTGCCCCTCCGCTCCCTGCTCCTGCTCCTGCTTCTGCTTCGCCTTCTCCTCACCCTCTCCCTGCTCCTGCTCCTGCTGCTACTCCTGCTTCTCCTTCTCCTCCTCTCCCTGCTCCTGCTTCTGTTTCTGCTGCGCCTACTCCTTCCCCTCCTCCCCTCCCTTCCGTTGCTCCCGCTGCTCGTGCTCCTGCTCCTCTCCCTGCTCCTCTCCCTGCTCCTCTCTCTGCTCCTCCTTCTGCTCCTCTCTCTGCTCCTCTTTCTGCTCCTCTCTCTGCTCCTCTCTCTGCTCCTCTCTCTGCTCGTGCTTCTGCTTCTGCTCCTGCTGCTGCTCCGCCTTCTCCTAACCCTCTCCCTACTCCTGCTTCGCTCCTTCCGCCTCTCCAGGTCCTTCCGCTCCGCGCTCCTCCCCCCATCTCCTCCCCTATCCGCCCGCCTGTCCGCGTTTCCCCCATCGCTTCCGCCCTTCCGCAGCTTGTCGCGCACACTCGCCACGCGCGCTTCCGCCAGTCCCTCCTGTAGCTTCCGCTCAAACGATTCCGCAAATGTCTCCGCGATTGACGCCGCGCCGCCTCCCAGTGACTTCTGGGTCGGTGGTTCCAGATTCTCCCGCTCGAACGACGCGGCACCGCCAGATGCGGCCACGAACGTCAACCCCGCGCCGCCTTTGGACCAAACAGCGCCGCCGACGCCGCCATCGCTGCTGGCGTCTGCAGCGGAGCTGGCGCCGAACCCGAGGCCCTGCTTGAATCGCGCCGCGTTGGATCCGCGGCGCACGAGATCCTGATAGTACGCCGCCGCCTTTCCCTCCTCCATAGCGCCGCCCCGCGCTGCCCCTCTCTGCACGCGAATACCTCAGAAGCGACACCCTTGTGCGAAGGTGACGTTTAGAGGACTCGAATGCCCGACCTCAGCAGTCTAGGAGCATTCCGGCTTCCATTTAGGGTTCGAAATTGCGAAGAATGTTGGGTGAGGACAGGTCGGCTGGAGTGGGGAATCCAGCTTCATGTTGTGAGTGCGCGGCTCTTACAAACGGCACTATTGAAGTTGGGAAGCTACAAATACTGATACTACGAATACTTCAATACGATTTTTACCTTGTCCCGCCCACGGGTGTGTGACTCCTACTCTGCCCGTCGCGCGCCCCGTGGCACGCGACGGTGCCCTTCAACTGCCCATCATGCGCCCCGTGGCACACGATGGTGCCCTGCTCGTCGTGCGCCCCTAGGCACACGATCGGGCCCTCTTTCTTCTCCTACCCGTCGTGCGCCCCGTGGCACTGGCACGCGACGGGCCTTTCCGCCCCTGCTCTCCCTGAAGCCGCCCCTGGCCCATCTGCACCGACACCTTTTCTCCGCTCTGCGGCTTTCTTCCCGCCCACCCCCTCCTCCTTTGTCTCCCTGCAGCCGTGGGGAGGAGGGTATGGGGGTGGAGGGTGTTGGAGTGTTGGGTCACCTCTCTCCCTTCCCCTCCTTCTTTCAGTCCCACCGCTGCAGCTGCCGCTGGGGGGGGAGGGTGTGAGGATGTGGGGGAGCAGGGGGAGTGGTACCGGGGTGGCGGGTGTGAGGCAACATGCAGCCGTCCCTCCACCACTCCTCACTTCCCCCCCTTCTCTGCTGCTCTTGCAGCAGTGTGGGGGAGGGGAAGGAGGAGGGTGAGGAGATGGAAGGGGTACCTGCTGTTGCTTGCTATTCTTTTGAATGGCGTAACTACATATCTACCTACAAGCATTATGGGGGCGTGTCGAAATATATTTGTCATGTTTTATAACTGCTTGTAGTTGTAGTTAGTGTAGTTATTTAAACTGTTGTTGGTGGTGCACCTTATTTGGTTTCTATGCTATATGTACCCTTGAACCTATAGTGAAACCATCACTTTTCTCCAATTCTCTCTCTCAACTCACTCGATACCTCGCCTAGGGTAAAACCTACTCACACCTTAGTTCGGGCCTAGGCTACTAAGCCTAGGCCCTTCCTTTCAATTTACCTCATACTTTGACAGATGATGTTTCAATTCAATTCAATCGATTTCTAACCAATCCAGTGTGTGCGTAGTGTCGAAGTCAGCATAGTGACAGCCGACCTCTCCTTCAGCATCCAATACGAGCTGCAGCACTGCTGACAGCTGGTACAACAATGACTTGTGTGTGAATGAACCTGGCTAATTTGTTAGAGCTGAGAGAACTCCAACACCGCACGAGCACCAGGGACAGCTTCGCACACGAAACTGTCTAGCGCTGCATCTTTCACTCATCCTACCGAATCAACCAAACCAAACACTCAGCCGAGCAAACCTCGCCTCACCTCACCTCACCTCACTCGCATCGCATCGCACGCCATGGTTTATATTTTAGGTTGCTGCAGATCGTGGTCCCCTATCAGCCCTACCCAGCCATGGAGCCTAGCGATGGTGAACCCCCCTCTCCTGCTTCTACTGACCGAGCTGCTTTCCCCTCAACAAGTAGTTCGCATAGTGGAGACACTGAGATTCTCAGCCTTCAGCATGAGCCAGAAGCAACGGACGATGGTGACATGCTCGAAGTCAACATCACCGTCTCGGACACGCTACTCAATTAACAGAGCTCATCGTCGTCCCAATCGACGCCTAGGGCACGTACCCGCTTTCGTCAGGCGTGTCTTGGATTCGCGGATCCACCTCCAGACACCAAGAAACGCGTTCGTAGCCACCCGCCGCCACCTACTGCCGAGGATTTAGAAGCACTGGACAAGGATATCGAAGCCGAAGCAGAGGTTCCCAAGGACACGAAGATCCCTGAGCGCGAAAAAGCTCTTGCCCGTCGCTACAACAAGAACTGGAAGGCGACCTACCCGTGGCTGAGCCTGAAGTATCACGAAAAGCAACGGATGTACGGTATGCGATGTTCTGCATGCTCTACATTCGATCCTAACACCAAGTCTCCTTTCGGTCGTTGTGGCGCCGATGCGAGGGACTTTCAGAAGTCGGCGTGCCGCAATCACGACTTGTTGAAGGTGCACCTTGCAGCAGTTGAAGCCGAACGACTCGCTCAAGGCACAGAGGTGAGGCAGCGGAGCCTCCTCGACATGTTGAGTAGGGACCCTACCATGGCTAGGGTCACCAAGTGCATGCAGGCGGCGTACTGGTGTGCTCGGAACGATGCTCCAATCGTTCTCTACCCGATGCTGGTGCGGTTCATGGCGGAGCAAGGCTGCCCCGACATGGTGAATAGCGAATCGTACGCTCGCTATTACTCGAGGTATGTAGTTGTTTATACGGCCCGTAGTTGCATGCGTTTTTGTTTTTCTGAATTGCTACTTACACTTGCTTGTCAGGTATTTGTTGCAGGTACGCCTTTGGCGAGTTCATTGAGGCAATGGCGACTTACCTCGCAGGTTGTCAGCTCCAGGACGTCAGGTCGTCGGCCTGGTATGGGCTCTCCTTCGATGAGTCTACGGATCGTGCCCGCGGCAAGCATTTGATCGTGTATGCGACTTTCGAGCGATTCGAGTCTGTGGTGACCCAATTTTTTGGGCACCTTTCTCTCACCCGATGCGATGCGCAATCAATCTACGAGACAATCATGGCCTTCATCTCGGGGAAGGGCCTGTCAATGGAGAGGTTTGCTGGCGTCTCAACGGATGGGGCTTCCGTTATGACTGGCGAGAGGAAGGGAGTGGTCGCATTACTCAGGAAGCATTGCCCCTGGCTGGTGGCTGTACACTGTGTGGCGCACAGGTAACTGTGCAGAGCGCTTGTATATTCTGTTCCAACAACATCACATGGATTCTAACGTTTTCCTTGTGCCTGTGCAGGGAAGCATTGGCTGCTAAAGATGCAGCGGCAAGCTTCAAAGATTTCAATGTCGTCGATACGATGATACGCCAGACTGCGGAGCGACTCGGGCGTTCCTCTACCGACCACAGGACGTACATGCACCTGCAAGATGTGATTCTGCAGACACACCTGGAGGTGCAGGGGTTCTGTACTGTACGGTGGCTGACTCGAGGGGACGCGGTGCAGCGGTTCTGTGACGTGCTGCCCGTGCTGATGTGGATGTGGAGCAGGGACAAGCCTGCGACGCAGAAGATCGCATGCAGCTTCAAGTTTCATTTCATGCTTTTCCTCCTGGCGGACATCCTGCAGCTACTCAACGGACTGAATCTCGCCTTCCAGAAGAAGACGGTACGTCTTGATTCGTGTCGCTCCATGTTAATGTTGAACCGCAGTAGTCAACGTTTTATGTTCATTTGTACTTGTTCATCTATGCTTGTTCCGCTGTGCGTGTTCAACTGTGCCTCTGTGCGTATTAAACTGTGCTTGTTCAGGTTGACATCACGGAGGTGAAGAACCATGTGGACAAGGTGAAGACGAAGCTCGTGTGAAAATGAACGAGAATGAATGCACTATGAAAGAGTTGGGTACAAGTACTAACCCTAATTCGGTTGTACCCCATATAGGCTACCCCACTACAGCCTACACAAAAGCATAAGCTATAATGTTCTGACACACCCCCATAGGCAAAGTGGGGGAGTACAAGGGGTCACAAGACCAGTCAAGCAAAGCAAAGCAAAGCAAGCTCAGGGTGGATCACAAAGTCACCACACATTCCGAGCACAAGGTCAAGGCCACAAGGCCAGTTCACATCGATGAGTACATATGTATATATAAAAGGCTAGACAAGCAAGAGCAGGTGTATATATATATGTAACAGTACAAGCAAGGTCAAGAGGTGAGCAAGTGAGGCAAGGCAGGCACAAGACCCAGCTGAGTACAGAAGCGCTGATGATCACAAGGTGCAAGCGCCTTGGTGGAGATATCAGCAGTGTTGGCCTCAGAGGCCACATACGCAAGACGCAGCTGACCACGCTGCTGCAGCTCACGAGCAAGGAAGTAGCGGAGCGCAATGTGCTTCGTTCTGTGCTCCAGTCTCTGCTCTCGACACAAGGCCAGCATGGTCTTGTTGTCTACGTACAGCACTGGAGGAGAACGAGGCGGCTCTCCTAGGTCAGTCAGCAGGTAGGTGAGCCAGCGAAGCTCCTGTGCAGCCATGGCCCCGGCGTAGATCTCCGCCTCACAACTGGAGCCGAGAACAGAAGACGAGCGGGTAGCCCGCCACGAAACAGAGCCGGAACCAAGGCTGAAGGTGTAACCCTGTGACGACCGCTGCGTAGCCTGGTCGTCAGCCCAAGAAGCGTCTGCGTGCCCAGTGAGGACCATTGGACTCTGCCCTCCAAGCACAAGCCCCATGCCTGATGTACTGCACAAGTAGCGCAACACCCTCTTCGCTGCAGCCATGTGCTCCGGTCTGTGTCTCCCAGGAGCAACATAGCGTGCGAGAATGCTAAGAGGGTATGCAAGGTCAGGTCGAGTGCAGGTCATCAGGTACATGAGGCAGCCAACAAGCTCTGGGTACGGGCCACTCGACTCTACGGACTCATCCGAAGGCAGAGCTGAGAGCGAGTGGCGAGTAGGTAGAGGAGTGGCCTGAGGCGAGGAGTACGTGAAGCCGAAGCGCTGAAGGACCTGCTGCACCATGTGTGACT